ACGCTAGGCTTAACTGCTAACGCTAGGCTTAACTGCTAACGCTGGGCTAGACTAGGACAGACTAAGTCTGGGCTTGGCAAAGCTAAAGCTAGGCTAGACTAGCGTCTGGCTAAGCTAACGCCGGGCTGGGCTAGGCTACCTACTGAAGAGGGAGTGGAGCTGGTGCTGATGGCTGTAACACTGGCTGCTGCGAGGCGACTCGGTGCGATCCATCACCGTCTGGAACCAACCGGCCACGTCCACCTCCAGCACCTCGTAACGCCGGATGAAATTATGCTCCTGGAGGAGGGAGACAAAGAGGCACCGAGAGGGAGACAGTTTAGTTACCTTTGACTGTTGGGTAATTCATTTAAAACTCAACAAAATATTTTGTTGCTCATTACAACCGATGTCTTACCAGCAGCGTGTGGTATTTTGGCCTTTTTCTGTGATCCTTTGTGAGGCTGTGGAAGGACACACACATGAAGTGAAGCTGCAACTGAGTGAATTTTAAAAGATACATTTTAAAGCCCCATTATGTAACTTTTCTACCTCAAAATAACAGCTTCAAAATCATTTTAGTACACTGAGATGTAATGGGGTGAATGGTGCCTCTGTCATTCCCACTCTGTGGCCCGTACTGTTGCCTCCGGTTCGGGACAAGTGTGCTTGACAGCAGTAATGACTGATTTTGGTGAAACTGGATCATATTTTGTGGAGAAAACGGTTTCTCTCCCTCTGATGTCCTCCGGCTGCTCCGCCTCAACTTTCTGTGATTTATAGAGTTTCCTGATTGACAGTAAAGTAACTGTTGCAAATTGTAAGCTGCTGTTAGCTGGTTAGCTTAGCCGTGCTGCTTCAGACTGTGCTCACAGCACCAAGGAGCATTGGCGTTTACACTAGTAGCACAGACAGGACCTTTGGACCGCCGGGTGGAAGATGTTTGGGAGGGAATACCGACAGAGAGCAGCGCTGGCATCATGCCAGAAGGCAGCTAAAAGCCTCTTCACAAGATCTGAATCTCATTCTATGTTCACTTAAAAAACAGTTTTTCAGAAATCTGTACTCACCAGTCTTTGACGAAGGACTGGAAGTCGAGGGAGAAGCCCATACCAAGAGGCAGCAGAGGAGGATCTTCCTGCAGCACTTTGGTCAGAACTTCAAAGTCTGTCTTGCAGTTCTTGTAGGGAAACTGTCCCGTGGCCAGCTCCACCTAGAAGACACAAGGACCCGTTAACATCCACCGTCATCAACAACAACGCTTCACAATAAAGAGCACAAAACAACTGGATGTATGCAGGGTTTTGTCAGTAAACTTATAGGACTATTTGACTAATGTTCACTGTTCTTCAGATGTGGTGGAAACAGGTAGTAGTTCCTATTTTACTTCCTGAGGCTGTACAGGTCCTTGTAGTGGCTTATCAGGTTCACAGCTGTAGAACAATGGATTAAGCTACAAACATCCCTGGCCCCACATTAGAGAGCAAGCTCCGGTTGTCTCCTCCAGTACATCAGAGCTGACACTAAGACTGTTTACACTGTGCTTATGCCCACAAGACTTTATACAAATATCACACACCAAATGCTCAGCTGCTCCTTCTTTATCTTAAAGTGCAAATATACACATGATACTGATTTGGCACCCTTTACCAGTCCTGATCTTCTGACCCAGCACCCACTTTGAGAACAAGAGCAAGTGCACTTCTTTTATGGTAATAAAATGAAAGCAGGTTTACCAGAGAGATGCCAAGGCTCCACACATCTGCTCGGATGTCATAGTCAGGTTTGGTGGGATCTGGAGGGTCTATTCTCTCAGGCTGCAAGAAACAAAAACAAGGCAACGCTCTGTTTAGGGAAACAGTGTGCGTATCATGTGGAAACTGGAATTCCTGACAGCATCTGTTTGTATCCATTTATTCCTTGTATTGATTGAATATGAAAATATATTTGTATAGCTACAAGCACAAATATGTAAAACTGAATGTCTGTCTATAGATGACTCACAGACAGGATGTGATAACTTTGCGTGTGTGTGCTGTTTTGAGTGTGTGGGTTTTCACTCACCGCCATGTAGGCAGCACAGCCAGCACTGCGGGTCTTTGCCTTGGAGTCGACGAGGCGTCCGCTGATGCCGAAGTCACAAAGTTTGATCTGACCTTTATCGTCCAGGAGGATGTTGGAGGGTTTGACGTCCCGGTGGATGACACCATGTTTCTCTTTCAGGTACAGCAACGCCTTCACTATCTGGAGCAGACACACACACACACAGTAAGACTATAGTGTCCAAAAATAAAAAAAAAAAAAAAAAATCAAGAAAGCAGTTTTACACTTTCCCATGTGTGTGTTTCTTCCACTTACCGCCACTGTCATCTTTCCAAGGATTCGCTCTGGGATGGGGCCCTGGATTCTCTTCTTCAGCTTCTCAGCACATGTTCCCATCAGCTCCATGGCAATGAAAACATCCGTCTGTGTACGTATACAAACAAACACACATCCAGCTATCAGTTCAAATGGTACAAAAGGGAACTTGGGAACTTTATTGGGGTGTTCAGATGGACAAGACTGAATTTAGCAGTAGAAATGCTCCGATCACTACTGTCCTGTTAAAAATACACACAGTAATGTATTTAGGGGGAAACCCACATTGGTAACTATGGCGCCATAGCACTGGATGATGTAAGGGCAGTCGTGACTCTTCAGCACCACATCCAGGTCCATCAGGATCCTCTTGTTCTCATCCTTGTTTCCTGTACGACGCATTTGCTGGTAACACAGACACACACACACAAAAAAAAGATTATTGCCTGCATTTGAATGTACGAAACGCGAACCATGCTGAGTGTTTAGAAACAAGCTATTAGGAAATCACAAAACAAAGACTCTGCCGGTGAGCTGATTGACTCCCTAATTGTTAAACAGTTTGGACGGCTACAATTAAGTCATCTCTTAAATAGGAGGGTTGTAACGTGGGGTTATTACTGCCTTAGTGTTGGTTAACTAGTCAAAATTAAAGCACAGCAGAAAATCACAGAGCTGAGCCGGGCTGAGCATCAAGCTGTATTTTGATCCTATTGACTGATATTTCAGAGTTTGCTAAATGTCTTTACAGCCCCTGCAGGGAAATGTTGTATTTTAATAAGCCAAGACATTACCAACCCACACATTGCAATTTGCTCCCTAAAAGGGTTTCACTTGACAAAAAGGATGACATGTACTTGAGTCATGAGTCAGCACAGCATTAGCAGCACAATCACACACTAATGATCAATTTGGAGTATAAATAACACTATATAAAGAGACACATTGCATTCAAAATGATCCTGGGTAACACAAAATTCAGTCTTTGTGTGCTGTTGTTTATCAGGAAACTTTTTAGGTAAACCTTATTATTTCTTGCACAGGTGTACAGCCACAAACACCAGCAGCTTACCAAACCTTAAAACGAGTTATCTAGAAATACACTTGCTCATTATACAGAGCCTCTTCTGATTGGAAGCTGGTTTTACCAACCCCCATAAACTCATTTCTAACAGAAAGAGCTTCACATGGTAAGTGAAATATAATTTAGGTAATGTGGTCTAAAGCGTTTTAATAATTTGGGGCCCTTTAGGGTTTCTTATGTCTTTCTGGGTCATGTACCAATTGAGTCCTGTTTTGAAATAACTATTATTAATCATGTTATTTTTGATGCATTTCATCATGTTATTATGTTATTATTTCCTGTAAATGTCTACATTTCTTTCCAAAGACTAGCATTTGCAATAGGTGATGGTAATGTAGATTTTACAAACAATACACAATAAACTCAAGCATGGGAATAAAACATTTGGGTCCTATTAAACCTAGGAAAGCAAAATGTTTTGATTTCACAGAAAAGGGGTCGACACTTTGTTCTGTTTCACTTTCATTAGTCACTGACATGAGCAGAATCAAACAAAGACAAAATATAAAAAAGTAGGAGTAAATGAAATAAATGTGCTGTGAAACACTGTTATAAAAGTGGGATGCACATGTTATTAAGCTACATTCCTGAGGAAAGGAAGTACTGGTAAATGTGCTGTGTGGACAGTGACCACCTGAGTGCAGGAGGGTCTTACTTTGACAGCGATGACATGGCCGGTCTTCTTGAATCGCACTTTGAAAACTTGTCCGCAGGTCCCGCTGCCGATCTCTCCCTCACTGATCAGGTCCGTCACCTCTGCTGGATACCGCTGTGGGCATACATTGGGCACAAACACAGACAGAACAAGGCTTTAGATCATGCTCAAGATATTTTTACTGCTCAAAATGTTAACTAAATGTTGTTTCTATGTAAACTCTTCAAGCTGAAAATAGATGAGAGAGGCCGGTTCTGACTTTATGCATCGTAAAGCAGCAGTAAACCCCTCTGGACCATTTACTAACAAATGTTTTAAGCTGCTCCCCCATTGGTCATGTCTGAGAACACCAGCACACAGTGGGAAGAGGCACGTTGCATGCTTCGTCAAAATTAAATCATTGGTGACTGAGAGGCTGTGAGCAACATCTCGTCGTGCGTGATGTAACGACCCCTGTGGGCTAATGAGAGGAAGTAAAAACAGTTTGGAGTGCAGCACTGAGTCAACTCATTTTCTCAACCATCTTCAAACCCTGACTGGCACTGACTATGATACTAGACCCAGAGGCTGGAGGAGGGAGGAAGAAAACAAACAACATGAGGCCAACCATAGTCAATAGTCAATCTCCTTCATTTTATCTTGGCAAACAAGAATAACACACACCCCAAGGTTTTTGAGTTTTTATAATAGTGTGTTTACTGAAAGAGAAATAAAGTGCCAGGGACAGCTGCTGTTCCTTGAAAGATTGTCTGCTCCGCTCAAGGAACACTTCAGTGGTGTGTGGATGTTTGCTTTTAGTGGGTTTTACTGTAACCTTCACCTGGTTTAACAATGGTCTCCATGCTCACTACACCAACCTGGCTGCTTTTTCATCGCAGTGAAATAGATATCTGAATGTTGAGGAGAACAAACGGGTGTTAAAAATATCTGCTAGTGTTAAGAAACTAAATGAAGATGTCTGGCTTATTTTATATTTTCTTATTGCCAACAAGTCTGTCTCTCAATACTTTCCTATTTCCCTCCCTGTATGTGGCACCCTCAGTTCAAACTGAAGCTGTAAATCTTTGTGATGTTAAGGATGCTGTAGTTTGTAGTAAATGTTACTCAGGGGAGTAAATAGTGCAATTTTTTTAACAACAGAGGTCAATGGCACAGAGGAGTAACATATCATACTGTGGCTGCAAGATAATATGTGTTAGTAGGAGCTTTCATGGGAATTTACGGACATGAAGAACAATACCTAATTTGTGCCGTAACATCACCCTGGCTTTCAGTTATGGGGTTTCTGGCATGTAGGAGTAACATTTCCAGATTAGACAGACTCAACGTGTGTCTATGTGTGCATATCTCACCTGACCGTCGATCTTCAGATAACCCGTCTGTTTCATGATCTCCTGCAATTTCTGGTCAATCTCTGCACTGTGGGGACAAAACACACAATGTCAGGGAGCGCAAATGCTATATGAAGTATGCTCAGTGTGAAAAGCCCATACCGAGATGAGAGTGAGACTTCTGACTCACAAATGGATGCTGTGCATGTTTCTGTGCATCTCTCACACCCACACACTCTGCGTGTGGATCCATTACATGTAATACAACCTGCTCTTCTTTAAATGCCCCTTCATTCTGCTCTCTCCCCCACTGGGTCTGTGTTGCTATGCTCACGTGCGTGTTCATGTGACAAGCTTTTGCTGTTTTTAGATGACTTTAAATACAGTTTCTCATTAATCATTGCTCAGATGAACATCAGCATGTGTCCACATACTTCTCTAGGCTCTTCTGTAGGCCGTATGGAGGTGTGGGCAGGGTGAGCATGTGTCGCGGGCGGCTAGGGTAGGGGTGGTGCTGAGGCGAGCTCTCTGAAGACGATGAACGGCTGCCTCCATCGTTGGCCAGCGGCAGCTGGAGTGCATTGTACGTGGGGGGGGGGGGGGGGGGGGCATGACATATTAGACACAGACAGGAGAACAGAACGAATGGTACAGTACGTATTGCACCAGAGGCCAGCATGCCAGAAGGTGTAAGATGGCTACGATTACTCATGCATTCAATGACTCCATTATTTTAGTGGTTTAAAGCCGATGTCTTTACATAATGACTAAATCAAAGTGTCTGATAGGAAAAGAATGTGATCTATCATATCATGTGTAGTACC